TGATAAAGTAAATTTAAATTCATTTTCACAGATCTATTTTTACTCAAGCTTCCCTGATTTCTGCAGCTGCAGCACAGCCCCCGAGCGCAGAGCAAAAAGTCATAGGCTATATGTTTAGCCTTTAAGTTTATGTTACAGCACTGAGCAAAATTAGAAACGGTACACTTGTTTAATTAAACTACTTTAAATAGTTCAATAAGGGATTCAAAATAATTGATTTGATGAGCACATGGCTTCAAAAAATGATATCCAGATGTTTTCAGTGAAAATGCATCACAATGACCTGCTAAATATGCACTCTGTACAGCATACAGTTCATACAAAATTTTGTCCTTGAGCCCAAATGGTCTGAAAAATACAAGGAATTTGCATTTGTCTTCTCAAAGAACTTTAGTGCCAAAAGCTGCATTATTCACTTGTCAGATAGCTATAGTACAGTGAGGAGAGGAACACTGACTTAGAGTATGCAACTCTCGCTAGTTCTACACCAACACTTGACTTTTCTGTTCAACCCATTATTCTTCCAAATCTGTCTGAGATAGAAGATAAGAAATGCATATATAGACCACAAAGTGAACAGACTCCAACAACATGAAAATTAGAAACAAACTCCTACACATAAAATACCAGAAATTAATCATTTGAATTCTCATTAGATAGCACAATTCTGTTCATGAGACATATGAACATTACTGAGGCTCTCTGTCATTCTTACCTGGGAGGCCTGCTAGAGAGCAGGGCTGCCTTATTAGTGAGAGCAGCATTTTGTCTGTGTGAATGAGTAAAATGGACAGAACAGGAAAAGTCAGTGGGATCATCTCTACGCCACCCCATAAGCTTTTATAAAAATAAGCCTGCTGCCGGACTTATGATGTCAAGGGGTCAAAGAAGAGCAGGTTTGCCTTCAGGTACTGCAGCATGCAGTAACCTGGACTCTACGATTCCAGCTGTGTGCGACTATTTATTTAATACTGAAATACAGTGTGGTGGAAATAAATTAATTTAGCAGTTAAAGAGAACCCTGGCAGCTCTCCCTTATGCTTTTATCTTCTTCTCCTATCATTTACCAAAAAATGGTATGTTGTCTCAGCTTAACAGTGACCTAATGTGAATGTTTCTATTGTCAGCATTAGTCAACCATTTAAGGCTATGTTAAGGCCTTTCTTCTTTACTCGAAGGTGTAGCAATAACTGTTGGAAGAGAGGAACAAAACAAATAAGTATTCAATATTACTGCATTTTATTTAGTTTGACATCTTCTTCACAATTTTGCTGATTAGTCTAAGATTTTTATTCTACCAAAAACTTTGCAAAGAAAATGTTTATATATACACAGCATTTTTTTTTCTTGTAAAACCTTTATTTTTGCTTTTATTGTCCATTTAATCATCTGGGGATCTTTGAAGTATTTAGGACTCCCACCCTAAACGATTACAAATCATTGAAAAAACAAATCAAAATAATAATTTGCTGTCCAGAGTGCACCCCGTCTCTTTCCCAGTGTCAGCTGGGACTGACTCCAGCCTCCTGCAACCCTCTTCAGGATAAGCTGTATAGATAATGGATGGATGGGTGGAATTTGCTGCTACCTAATTTCATTACTTTCCTATATTGGTATTTTATGATATCACTTCCAGACTTGAGCTACTTAACATGTGGATGAAATTTATTCATACCATTTTTTGTCCAAGTTATTTTATTTTGACAGTGTTTTAACTATTATTATTTAAGGTGACCTTTTATACCTGAAATGTTTTGATATTACACATTATACTGTACTATAGCTCATGCCAGTACAGAGGGAGAGAGAGAGCACAGTTTGGATCCCATGCAATCAAGACAGCAGGCCAGATACAAACCAACATCCACAGCAGGTCCCCCTCCACCACACTGAGGCGGTAGGATGCAGAGCCCAGCCTAACCTGAGAGCTCAGAGGAAAAGGAAGTGAGGAAGTCTGAGGCACAGCATGGCGGCAGATGGCCTCCTAGGCCTCAACCATCTGGTGAGGAGACTTTCAATCCACCATCAGTCTGTTCCCTTTCATTTACATATGACTCTTTAACAAACCTGCTTCTATCCCCCTACTGCACCTCTACAACCTTCACTTCCAGACTTGAACTACCAACAGAGAACACTCAAAGTAGACTTGTAGTCTAGTCTCCAGTCTGGGAAGCCAAGAGACCTGCTGCCATGTCACATGTCACAGAGCCTAATCAATGAGTGTTAAGCCTTTAGCTGTCATTCTCTCTGGCTAGCTGGGAGATTATCATCTATCCCTGTGTTAAGGCTGCTCCCAGCTTGATTTACTTTAAATAGCAATATGCTGATTGCATTGCTGTCTCTGTGTCTACTTATTCTGTAAAAAGGGGGTTTTATGCAATCAGAGCTGTATTTTGGAATAATTCTGAAGACACAGCATTTAAGATGCAGAACTGAATTTAAAAATGCAGCCACCATGACTCTCTTTCCCACTATTACTAGACTTTCCCCAACCTCTTTAAATCCAGTAATGTTGAATTACATACCTGATTTATTGGGCATGCAGAAAACACAGGCAACAATATAATTTAGACTAATACAGTATTGCACCACATGGTTTATTATGTGTAAATGACGTAATTAATAAAATGTGTCAAGGTCAAAAAGTCACTGATAGCTCACATGATCAGAGAGGGACATGAAAAGATACTGAAGAAGTGTTGTGTCAGCTATGGTTAATCTATAACTCCATTTAAGAGCCAAGAGCTGGGGGACACAGGGACACCTAAATCCTGCAAAAAATACTATACTGCTAAACATACACAGAGGTCTGTGTCCATTCCTTGCACGGACGTTACCTTGATTTACTGTGCATTCATTTCCTGTAGACTTATTCTAACCTTAAACTAAGTTGATACTCAAAAGTTCTATGATTTACATGATAGCAAGGAAGGCCAAGTTCCCACAGCACAAGTGCATGAAGAGACATACAATCTTATCTACAATGACTACTCACATTGTGTCATTACCAAATATAATCAAGATGTAATATACTGCAGTTAAGCATGCATCTGAACCTAGTCTTGATTTCACTCCCGAAATACTGTTTTGTAAACAAACAAAGCTGAAATAATTATGTGATTAGTCAAGTGACAAAATTAATCTGCAACTAGTTCCAACTGCTCAATTGTGAGGATTTCCTGCTTTTCTTCATCATATTTAATAGGGAACAGAATATTTTTGGATTTGAAGTGCTGCTTTGTGAAACAAACAATTTAATGACCTTAGCCTTGGTGCCAGGACACTGTAGGTATTATGGCACTAGGGTGATGGTTTTAATGGTTTCTGAAATATAAGAAGCTTAATGATTAACTGAGAAAACAATTCAGCACAAACATCAAAACATATTTATTTTTGCGGATTTCTTTTGCCTTCCAAAAAAGTAGAAATTAATTGTTTATATTTTGGACTGCTGGTCAGAAAAAAACAGGCTATTTGAAGACATCAGCTTATGTGCTGAGAGGCCATTCACGGTGTACAAGAATTTAGACTAAAAATGAACTAGATCTGCTGATTAGTCAGTTCCACATCAATAGCTTGAGTCATTTTTAAAATAAAATATCAAAGACTTTAAACATGAGTATTTGGTGGTTTTATTAGTCTTAAATGATAGATCAGTTACACATTGTTACTATAGGTTTTGGGCTGCTGACCTGACATAGAAAACAGTTTGAAGACTTAACCTTGGCTTCTGAGAGCTTGCGATGGGGCATTTTTCACATCTTATGAAATAAACGAATGATTATGGAGAAAACAAATTCTATCAGTCTGTGACCTTCAACAGTAGTTAGAGAAAGGCTGATCAGATAGAATATCCTAGTGCCACTTGTGTCCGTCTTTCAAAATAAATAATAAACTAAAAATATAAATCCAATTGTTCGATATTACGGATTGGCACTGGCTGAAATCGGGGTATTAATAAAAAGAGACTCATTGCCATGTCTCTGACTGTCAGTAGGTGTGACCTCATGACTTGAACTGGCTGCTATGCTACCGCTGGCCCACTGGGCCAGTTTTATGACAACAGGGCTGAGTCTTTTCAGTTTCAAACCTGCTGGGTGTGTACACCAAAACTCTTGAGAAGGCACAAGAACTGCTGAACAGGTTTCTTAAAAACATACATGCTCTCGAAAAATAATTAACTGTACTATGTTTATCATTCATATTCTGTCTCACTTTCACATAAATCGAGTTTTTATGTTGCAAATGGTAGCATTTATAAAGCTCAGGCTTTTGATTTCCAAAGAGAAACAAATAAAAGTTGAGCAAACAAGATTAAGTAGAGAGAAAACTCGGAAGTGTATGTATGTGAGGAGAGCTTGCGATTGCATAACTATGGCACTGAGCCACAAAGTCAACATTCATAGGACTATGGAAGCAAAATTATGTACTGTGCCCTGTAAACAACAGTGGGAGTATACTGCTACCTCCAATGGCAACACACACAAAAATAACACACATTGTCAGAGGTATAATCTCTCCTTGCAAGTGAGCAGTGTTGACTCCAGCACCTCCATAATCACAGTCCTCTCAAAACCATATCCATACAGACAGATAAGGAGGAACTTGAGGGATTAGATGAACCCATCTGAAATTCTGCAAAAAATAATACGCTGCAAAAATCCATAATTAGCATTATGGCATCAAGATTTTTCACACATGACATCGGGATATCTCACAAGTAGCAAAGATGTGCGATTCACCTTTCAGATTTCCCTCATTGCCAAAATAGTCCTGGCTATAAATTAGTAAATTGTGGTCTTCCTCGGCTCCCAAGACGCACAGGCGAGCGCTGCGGCAGCGACAATTAGGCTATGATCAAATTTATTCAGTAGCTTGGCAGTGGGACTAGACTGTTGTAGTGGTATGTTGCTGTATTTTCACCATACATCCATAGCACTTCAGTTAGTGCAGGTGTCACAAGAGGCGCTCTGAAGGACAGCGCTTTCTGGATTACTCACCCCATTGCCGCGGACTTGAGGAACAACTCCTTTATAGTCTATATGTCGGTTATATTGGCTGCTTGAGAGGCCAATATTTGAAAAAAAATGTTTAGAGGCGCAGTCAAAGTCCCCAAATGATCAGTGGTCCAAAGAGTTCATTCCCCGTGTAGGAGCTTCGAACAAGTCTTGTTGCTGCTGAGACACAACTGAAATGTGAGAGCACTTCGCAAACTCGATTCACCGGGTTGTCCAGCTCAGTCTCACAGAACCCTGGTCATTTAAGGAAGTTTTTCTCTATGCTCGTTTGTTTCTCTTCTCCAAATACGAGACAGAATAAATTACGCTTCGGGATAGCTTTTCCCTTCCTATCTTCGCATTATCGGCGCCGATTAATTAAGTCAATGCTTGCATTTCCCTGCTTGCTCGCTGTTTGTTCCTCCCCAGCGGGATTGTGTTACATATGAGGGGCAGCAGCAGCGACACGGAGCGGCTTCTACCTGCTCACGCTTCTGCCAAAACCACCCACTCTCTCTTTTAAACCTGCGGTTTCTGTGTTGTATCTGCGGTTTCACTTGGAGATGTAGCTTGTAAATAGCCTACACAATAATAATAAAAACCCAATCCTAACAACGATAACTGATTATTTAAATTCAGGTGCACTTACATGTTTTAAGAGACTGTGATGGGTGCCAGTTTTTGGCACTTTCTCCTGTTTACAGTAAGCCAAATAATAATGAACTTTATAGCAAATGTGTGCTACTAGCTGTACAACCCCTTGACATCCGTAGCTCAGATAGTGAGTTGGGGTTAAAATCAACCCGCAGTGTCAATTACGTAACATGCTTTAAACATTTTGATAGTGGTCGTTTGTAACCCACAGGCATCAATCACTAACAGGTGCGTGCGCTCCCGGAACACTTAAACGATGTTCATTTGTTCCGGGGGGGAATGGTTTCAGTGACGTACTCCTCCGCACCGTAGTTGTATGGTTTCGTGAGTAGCTAAAAATAGTAACGTTCAGGTCAGTAAAGGTGAGTTTTTAAGGTGTTAGCGTCATCATGCTTTTAATTGTGATGTCTGTGTGGTTCATATTATCGGCTACCGCTAAGTTAATTGCATCCACATTAGTCTCTTTTGTATTGTTCCGCCTGGGGAGTTTGATTTGTAGCATAGCAACACAAGACAAAACAGCCTTATTCTCCAGTACACATAATAACGTTAAATACATATAGTGGTGTTAGTAACTTTGTCGTGATAGCCACACCTTCAGTAACCTTTCCTTTGTGGCTAAGTTCCAGAATGACCGAGACAACGGAAAACCTGCAGAAGTACGAGGAGCTGTTTGGCCACAGATTTTCATCGGAGGACCATGAATACCAGGAGTACCTGAACCGTCCAGCTGACCCCCCACCCATTGTAGAGGACTTTAGGAGTCGTGGAGGAGGAAACCAGAGAGGCAGGGATAACAGGTAGCTTACAGTAACGTTAGCATGCAAAGTGGGTCGAGACATATACTTTATGACCTGTAATCTACATACCATGTTCATGATTAGACTATATGTTTTTGGTTCTGGTAAATCCAGCTGTCGTACAGGTGATGTTAGTTAAATGTTATTGATAGTCTCATTGAGATCAAGATCTCGGAACATTGTCTTCCACGTTGTCCCAAGGTTGTTGGTTGGGTTGTTGTTAATTCTAACTTCATATTTAAAAAATTTAGGTATGCACAACAGTCACTTCTGTCTTTTATTCATATACAGTTAGTTTTTCAGATAATACAAATCCAGCAATACTTCATCAGTGGTTTATACAGTGTAACAAATAGTGAACACAGCAAAATTGACTGATTTTAAAAAAAAAAGATTATTTATTGCACATTTATAAGCAGAACTTTGTGCACATTCCATGCATGCATTACTACTGGTTGTTGAAGATTGTTAATCTATCTCCATCTAGGTACCAGGACCGCCGTGGACACAGAGGTGGGTGGGGACACCCAGGTTGGAGAGGAGGCCATCATGGGCAAAAACACTGGCGTGACAGAGACAGGCACTGGGGGCATGGAAGTGGCTATCAATCAGGCGCTCAGAGTTCCAACCAGGGATACAACTTTGGTCATCAGAGATCACATGATGATCACCACTGATCAGTACTCTCATCTCAGGTGTTGTCAATATTTATGTATGGTATTCATTCTTAACTTGGTATTGCAATACAATTAGTGTCTATGTAAAACTGTTGTTTTGTGTGTATGACTCATTACCAGTCTCAAAACCCAGAGCTGAGCAATATATCAATATTGATAATTTACTCTGTAAATGTGTAGAACCTTTTTAAATATTGAGTTTTATTGAATGAATTTCAAAATGTTTGTGTTTGACTTCCACTTACCTTTTTCTTGGATCAGACAGTAGCTTTCCCCATATTGCCTTGTATTGGTTAGCCCTGTCATCATTTCATTTTCTCATTACATGCCTGTAAACTATAACAAGAACTTTTCACTACTGGAGCCCTCAATGAAAATGACACTGAAATATTTTCTCTACAGTATTTCAGGTATGTGGGCTGTTTTTTAGCAATATTTGATTGTGGTGTAACTGGGAAATGTCAATGAAGAATCATTTTGTGTTCAGAATGCTTTGATATGAGAGGGTTATGATTTATACAGTACAGCGTTGCAAGTGGTAAATCTATCTTCAGAGAAAATGTATTTGTTAATGCAGCTTTATTTTTCTGTGATAATGTTGTAAGGACTTGTGACCTAAACTGCTTTCAATAAACATTTATTTTCACAAATGCATGTGGGGCTTTTCCCTCCCCCATTAAGTCATCAGCCTCAACATAAAAAAATTAATACAGCATCAGTCCTGCTCAGCACACCATTAAGTGTTTATTGTTTAGCAAGGTGCACCTAACTGCAGTATTTAGTTTCAGAGATGTTTTGGTACAGTACAACTTCAACATCTTAGAAGTGACAGTTTTAAAGATTCCAATGCCAAAAGTCCAAGAGGCCCTCATTAGAAAGAATAACCTGTCCAGTGACCTCTAATCATCAGGTATGATGGCTTCTGATCTACATTAAGCCACTTTATTTATAAAGCACATTTAGACTATTTTCAGCACTAATAACTCAGCCGTGATAAAAGTTGTGATGGCCCCACTCCACCCTCTCCAGATCTCACTCAAATTTAAAGTAATCAACAAATTCATTTTTATATACAGTGGGTACGGAAAGTATTCAGACCCCCTTAAATTTTTCACTCTTTGTTATATTGCAGCCATATGCTAAAATCATTTAAGTTCATTTTT